AAAAAAAAAAAAAAAAAAAAGCGCTTGGTGCTAAAGTCAGATTCCTGCTAACTGAGTGCCTGGGTACAGCCATGCCTGAAATCATTTATACTTTGAATTACATGAGCTGATCCAGTTTTGGCTTGAACCACTTAAGGGTTTGTGTCCCTTGCCATCAAGAGTACCGACTGATAACAAATGGACACTGGAAGGGGCCCTTTGGGGCAGCTGGGGGTGACCGGGCACCCTCAAGGAGCCCATTCTTCCCTGGTGCCTAGAGGGAGGGTGGCCCTCCTCAGAGTTGGCTGGTCCCTAGCCCCATTAGAGGGCACTTCCGGGGCTCCTGGCCCAACTAGGCTCGGTTCCTCTCAGTGACAAGGCAGAAAACCAGAGTCCTCGACCCAAGTCCATCCTCCTCCGGCTTGGTCCTCTTTCCACATTGTTGCCCCAACCGTGGCAGCCCCATCATAAAGAGTCCAGATGCTTTAATACACAAACACCACAACTTCTGGGGGCTCAGCGGCACCCCCTTCCCTGACCGCCCACGTTTCTTGGGCCAAGCCCTCTGGCTGCCTCCCCGTGGTCTTCCCCAGAGCTGTGGCCCTGTGGAAGAGGACTCACCAGGACTGTCAGCACAGAGGTCCCCACGGTGACGTTCTCGTACAAGCTGACGTTGTACAGCGGTTGGCTGAAGATGGGCCGGTTGTCATTCTCGTTGATGAGGGTGATCTTCACCTTGGCATAGCCCACGTGGTCGGGCACACTCTCGTTGGCAAAGAGCTGGGTGTGCAGAGCGGGGGCCCCGGGTGAGCTCTCACATGCTCCCGGAGCCTTGTCCCCATAAGTCCCCCCTGGGGTCTTTGCAGATCCTAACCCAGAGTTCTTGTCTGAGTCACTGCCCATCCCAGGTGTGTGTGATGGGGGTCTCTCCAGCAGGGCTCCGAAGCCAGGGGGGCCACGGATTCTGCTGGGGGGGGCTGGGCTGGCGGGGGCTGGGCCGTGAGGCTCCTTATGGGCTTCGGGGGCTGTGCCCGTGCCTGGGAAAATGCTGCTCAATTCCCAGACACTTCCTTGTCCTCCTTGAAAAGGGGAGGCTCAGCCCAGCCCCTGCCATGGGCTCAGTGGGCTTCCTGGAGTCGGATCCACACAGGGGAAGAACGGGGAGAGGGGGAAGGAGTTTAAGGAGATGGTGTCACCCTCTGCCTCCCCGAAAGCCTCCCGCCGGACAAAGAAAAAGGGAGGGGGCCTTACGTCAAAGTCGTAGCGGTCCACAGTCTCATAGTCCAGGGGGACGGCCACCCGGATGCGAATGTCTGCCTTCCCTTGGACAGAGGTGGGGGAGATGATGAAGTGCTGGGAATTGTTCCCCACCAGGTACACCTCGAACATGCTGTTTAGGCCCTGGGGCAGAATGGAGAAGAAACCAGTCAGAAAGGGCTCAGGGGGCCGAGGGTCCAGAGCAGAGTGGTTTGGTGGAGGTAGAGGAGGGGCAGGGTCCAGAGCGGCGCTTGCCTGCACCCCACACCAGAGTGGTCTGGCCTCCTCTGGGAGACCCTGGCCTGGCTCTCAGACCCTGCCTCCTGTCCACATCCGGGCCCGCTGCAAGTCTCCGCCAGTTCTTTTTGCCTCTGTTTTCCCTTCAGATGCTCCCAAATAGCCCTCCCAGATGGCTCGGTTCATTTCCCACCTCTTGCTCCCTTCCTCAGTCCCAGTGACCCCCAGCTGGGGAGGATCTGTAGCTGGAAGACCCAGCAGGCAGACCGGAAAGAGGACAGGATGGGAAAGGAGAGAGAGAGAAGCGGGTGTGTGTCCCCGGCAGGCATGGGCGGGAGAGGGCATGAGGGACAGAGCAGGACACGGCTTCTTCCCCTCCCTCCCTCCGAAACGGGTCAGTCAGGGAGAACCCTGGTTTCCTTACACATGGAAAGGGAATAACCCAGCTGAATGGCAAAGCGAACCGCCGCGGACCCCACCCTATAGCCAGCTAGCGGTGGCCCAGAGGACACTGGATCCCAGGTAGCTCGGAGCGGCCGGGTCCTCCATGGGCTCTGCCGCAGCCCAGCAGCTGAAGCCCATAATTTCAGATGGCGGGCATGTGCTTCACTCCAAGTTAGGTGTTTCTGATCATTCTAACAGGGCCCGAGCTCACAGAGCCCTCAGATACGGCTTGGCTCCTTCTGACACAAAGGGTGTGAGGTCTCCATGCTACCCGAGCCCCCAAGTCCAAAGAGCCACTGATGAAAGTGGGAGACATGGCTTCCTGACTCCCCAGAGTCTGGCCTGCTCGGCGATGGATTCAACCCCCCATGGGGGGAAATTACCCCCAAATAAACCTCCTTCGACCTAGGCAGATGGCCTGTGGTTTGTAACCAACCCGTGGAGAGCCTCTCCTGACCCTTACTGCAGATGCTCACTGAGTTACAGACCTGGGCTGTGAGCACCAGGAGGGAATGTCCTCCTGCCCATGCTGCTCACCCTTCGCCCAGTACCCAGCACAGCCCCTCTGTGTACGTGTTTCTTTGGAACTGAGGGCTGGCAAAGGAGGCATGCCTCTCGGTTGCCCAGGGATCCCTTCCAGAACCCGTTCCTGCTGTGAGGGGGGCAGCCAGGCCATCTGGAAGCCTTTCCATGGTCAGAAGCGGATGATCCTGGCAGGGCTGGAAAGGGCATCCCCACTGACGCCTGAGAGTTCATGAGATTCTTCCAGCCCTGGACCTGTCCCACAGGTAGTCGAAAACATTTATGGAATGAATGCATATTAATATTTACCCATCAGTCTCTTGAGTTTTTTTTTTTATTTGCAATTACAAATTGGCAAAACAGGAGTGTTGCCAATCTTGGGGTCCAGACAAGCAGCGGGGCCTCCAGAGCCCTCCACCAGAGTGGCTCCTGCAGACGGTGCAGGCAATGCTCCCTCGGCCCCGTCAGCGTGTGGAGTCCTCAGTTCTCCCTGGCATGGAATCCATCCGTCAGATGGGAGGCCCAATTAAATGCCTGAAGGGGCACTAATAGCCAAGACCGGCAGAGTGTGACAGGTCTGAGCAGGTGACACCAACACCTCTCCCTCCACCACGGGACCTGGAGGCCTGAGAAGGTGGGGGCCGGCTGAGCTACGCCAGGGCACGTGGAGGAGCACCCCCCCCGAAACCCCTTCCCCACGATGCCCACCGGCCTCCCCAGCCCCTGCCCTTCCCAGGCTCACTTACCAAGTTCTGTCAGTGGGAGTCGGTCAGTCAAAGGGTATGGAGACAGAGAAGGAGCCGGAAAGGTACGGAGGAGGAAGGAACCGGAGATAAAAAGATGGTGAGATCCGAGGTCAGGGTAAGGGAGAGGGGCCGAGTGGACCCTAGGGGCACACCCTGCTCCAGAGGAACAGCCCCCTTCGTATCTGATGGGCCCCACACCCAGAGGAAGGAGAGGGAAGCAGAGGAAGAGGTACTAGGGCTCCTGAGCACACTCGGTCCTCACCCAGAGGGAGGTGGGGTGGGGGGTGGACCACATCCCTATGTCCTCCTCCCAGGAGCCTGGACCAAACCCCTGCGGAAAACGACCCCAAGCACTGTCACATTTTAATCTTCCTAACACAGAAAACATTAAGACATGATGAATACAGACATGGAAAATTTTTCACATAGTTCAAAAGTGTCAAGGGCATGCTGCTGTCTCCCTGTCCCCACTGGAGCAGCCGCTGGAGAGCCTTCTCTAGAGGCCACCACCACACCCCATCCAGGGGTCTCTTCCCCAGCAAATCCACACAAATATGACGAGCTCTAGGTTTCTGGGCCTCCCCTCCCTGATGCCAGCGGCAGCACGCTACACGCATCGCTCTGGGTGGGGTTTTGTCACTTGGAGCCAGGTCTCGGAGACTGTTCCGTAAGTGTACAAATAGGGGCCAATAGTAACGATGACAGCACAGCACACCGGACGCCTACTCTTGGCCAGACGCCGTTCAGAATAACCACAGAATCATCCTCTGCGGTTCCTGTGGAACGTTGGGAGTCCTCAAGCCCGCAGAGCAGGCCTCAGGCAGGGTAAACCCACAGCAGAGCAGGGACACAGTGGGAGCTCAAGAAGCCCCTGGGTTTAGGCAGCTTTTCCTCACCCACTCCTCTGTGCGATCCTCTTCCCACGGGCCATGGGGTGGAGAAGAAGAAACACCGGATCTTGGAAACCCCTCCAGAGGAAATGGACTTCAGAGAGGTTGAGTGAGTCACCCAAGGTTGCACAGCTTGTTGGGAGCACGGTGAGGGTAAAAGCCCAGGCCGGGGTGCTGTCTAGGTCGAGGGAAGTGGGGTCAGGGTGTCCCCCACTAGCAGCTCCAGAGCAAAGGGAGGTGGTAATGCTGAGCGCCCCAGGGCGGGAATCGGAGCGAGCGCCAGCAGAGGAGGCCACGCCAGGAAGGCTGCCCCAAGGGGGGCTTTGAACTGGCTTTAGGAACGAAGGGAAAATGAGCTAGAAGAGGAGGGATTCCATGTGGAGGAAGTGGCTCTCCCCACGGAGCTCTGTCCTTAGCGTGTATCAGAAGCACCTGGAAGCTGTGTTAAGCTACAAACGGCTGCCCACCACCAGGACTCCCTCATTTGGTAGGTTGGGGCCTGAGAATTTCCACTTCTAACAAGTTTCAGGTGCCGCCTGCCCTGTCACTGCTGGTCTGGGACCCCCGCTGGCCTCGGCAAAGGCATGGAGCGGGAATGAGGAATTAGTGAGGAGGCAGACAGTGAGCTGATTTGCAAGGGGTGCATGTGGGGAAGAGCTGGTGAGATCGTTGGGATAGCAGGAGGCTGGGGGGGCGGGGGTCCCACTGCAGGCACCGTCTGGAGGGCTCTGGCACTGCCCTCGTGAGCAACGGGGAGGCACTCTAAGCTCTGAAGCACATGAATACTGGTGAAAATGAGGAAGGTGAACTTGGCAGTGAGTGTGAGTCACACTGAGGCAGCCCTCCCTCCTCACGAGGCTGCACATCTGAACCACCAGCATGGCTCTAAACTCAGACACGCAGATGCCCACGGCCACTGGGTCAGAACCTGCCGGGGTGGGGCCCAGGCAGCTGCAATTTTGTGATGCTCCCTAGGGAACCACATTGTGCAGCCAGGCTTGTGAAGACATCAGTAGGGGCAGGCAGGGGCTTGGCGGCACCCACAGGAATCCAGAGGGGCGAGCAGGGGAGAGGCAGAGCCATTGGGCCACCCAACAAAATCTCTTGGGGGGTCTTTAAAATATCCTCATGCCTAGGTCGCACCGCAGACCAAGCAAATCAGACATGGGTGAGACCAGACCTCAGGAACTCACAACACTCTCCACGTTATTCATTCTAATGTGCATCCAAGGGTGAGAACCACTAGGGCAGAGCGGTGGTTCTCCGAGTGGGGTATAGGGACCAGTAGCTCAGCTTTACCAAAAACCTCATCAGAAATGCATATTTTGGGCCACGCCCAGATCTACCTTTCAGAAACACCAGGGGCAGGGCCCAGCACTGTGGAGCCAGCCCTCCAGGTGTCTTGATACTCGCTGAAGTTTGAGAACTGCCAGGACAGAGCAAGGCAAGGCAGGGAGTGAGTCTGAGAACAGGGAAGAAGACTGACCGTGGAGGTGTGGTGGCTGAGCAGCTGGAGAGAGAAAGCAGAGTAAACACCCATGGGGATGTAGGGGTGCGGGGGTGGGGGCGGACAGAAGACCAGAGCGGAAGGTGGGGCTGAGCTCAGTGTGGACTCAGTCTGTGTACCTGGACAGGCAGGAGCACTGGCCCCTCAGGCCAGGTCCCTGCCCTTCTAGATTTGGCTGGATGTTCACTCAGCCCTGCGGTGGCCCTGAGACCCCAGGGCAACCTTCCGGCTAAGTCCCATTAAATGCTCAGCCTGCGCCCTTCAGAACGTGCCCAGAGGGCCAAGTCCTGCTGGGACTTGGCTTGTGACTGTGAGCCCCTCGGGATGGGATATGTATGTGATATTCACCCAGTTCACTAAAGCGGTGCAAAACCCCGATTAACTGCAGTCCTCTGCCAGACAGCTTCTGTTTATCAAGCCCCAACTGCGTGCTGCACGTGACTCAACCAGAATCTTTACTGACATCGGCGTCAGTGCACCCCTTTTTGGAGAAGGAAAGGGAGGCCTGGGCGGGCAACTCATTCAGGCCTCACAGCTGCCAGCGAAGGATCTGAGGTTGGGTCTGTTCTGTCTCCATCACAGTGTGAGCTCTCAACCGCCCAGCTCTCCAGCCCCCTCCCACTGCACAACGTTGCTCCCAATGCAAGCAAAGAACTGGCCGGGGAGGGCACGGGTGGTCTCCTCCCCCATTCTCCCAGGGCAGGAGCGAGGCCCAGGGGAAGGTTCCTCTGCCAAGGTCAGGGACCAGGCAGGTGGAGGGCGTGAGCCTGCCCCTCCCTCACTGCCAGGCCCAACGGG